TGGAACGACACAGTGAACCAACTTTCTTTGCAGCAATTGACTCGATATAGTTTTCTGCCATGACACTTTCTTTGCATTAGACATCGCAATTGATTAATATAATCGCTCTACTCCATGTCAATGGAAAACGTGAGGCTAAGAAGACGTAGAGTGTTCCTCTCCTGGAGTTTAGCAACAGTCATGGTGATGGCAGTGTTACACACACACACACACACACACACATATATATATATATAATATTCAGTTGTAGGCTTATAGATGTTAAATAGAAATTAAGACGTTTAATTTTCTCAACAGAATAGATATAATGCTGACAATAGTCAAACAACAAAACGAATAGATAATAGAAGCACTTGATTCGATAACAAACACCTGCTATTTTTCAAGAAAGAGGTTCACTCACGAGTGTATCCGAATTACTTTTCGCGTGAGAACAGAAATATGTGCATACATAACTTTATGTTGGCACCTAGACACGAGCAGTCACTCCTTTATATATATATATATATATATATATATATTTAATGAAAAAACAGACCACTTTTAAGGTACCATTACAATAATTTATTTCACCAAAATCCTTTTTGAAGGACTCGGATCATCAGGTAACACTTCCAACAACAAAATGAAAGGAAAAATGGGATTAGAAATTGATGGGTAGTGTAATTTTTGTAATTTAACAGGTGGGGTGATCAACGAGACAAGGTATAGTATATATACTATACCTAATCCCATTTTCCCTTTTTTTTTTTTTTTTTTTTTTTTCATTAAATATTAGCTCTGGATTCACATTGAGCTCTCAGGATTTCATCCTCCTTGGAATTACCCATTCGGTTTACCAAGTTCTTCTTCTTAAAATAAATATATATATATATATATATATATATATATATATATATATATATATATATATAAGGTGCGATCGGTAAATTGGCGCCATTTTATTTTTTAATGTGTCATATTTATCACAACGTTTCGGCCGTTGTACGCTCCGGCCTTCTGCAGGTGGTTACAATGTCGAACTGAACCCTTTATTTCGCTCGCTGGGGTAGACTGTTCTAGTTCCCCGTGCTATGTCTAATGGATGTCAGTTATCAGTTATCTCCAAGTTCTTAACCAGGTATTGAACTCACAACTTTTTGGGTCCTGGATCTAACCAATGCCTTTATCTACTCTGCCAGGTGTCCTTAAGGACATCTGTGTATGAATTTCTGGGACTTATAAACTTAATGTCTTCCACAATCATTTTTTTACCAGTGCTCATATCTGTTATCATTTCATGATTTATACGTTGGACACTATTGTAAGGAGGCTAATATGCTGTCCACTAGCAGGGGTTTATCTACTTCACGCCGCTGGCGACTATTGTATTTTGTTGATTTTATAAAGATTACCAGTTTATTTCCAACCTCCATATTGGTTATTCTGCATTCAATAACCCTTTCTAGATTATAACCCTTATCGCTTGTGGGGCTACCTTCCTTCAAGTTTCATGAATTCCAGTCAACTTTGATCTTCAAAAATTTCAGACCTTCACAACTAGGACTCGCTATGTTACATACACAGAATCGACTCATCCTCATTCTCTTTGTACTCCATTGGTAAGGAGGAAGTTCTACTCAGACAGTTCCTTCCCCAGAAGTGTTACGTTGTGCAACAGAATTCTGAAAGTATGCTTCTCCGATCGCAATAATCATAACCCCCAGTCTAGGATCAAGCGTTATCTATCCTACATATCCTCATAAAATGCTCTTCTGAGCATCACCTTGTACGCCCCTGCAACAACCTCATTCAGTGAAATTCTACATTGAGTGGCTCTTGTGCTTTGCATTGGGGTACAATACCATTAAAAAAAACTTTTTATCAGAATATCTAAAATTATCCCAAGCATGCAATGAGAATTGAACACATTATTGATGCAATGGTCTAATTTACTTGATCGATAATCAATATTCTGTGATGAGGAACCTAGATCGATCAATCGATACAAAGAAAGAAAAAGAAAGAAAAGAAGAAGAAGAAACAGTAATAGCCATGAAAGAAAAAAATTAAAAAACTGTAGAAAGAAAGAAAGAAAGAAAATAAAGGAAGAAGAGGAAGAATAATAATAGTGGAAGTAGAAAAATAAAAAGTGGTAGAAAGAAAGAAAGAAAGAAAGAAAGAAAGAAAGAAAGAAAGAAAAAGAAAGAAAGAAAAAGAAAGAAAGAAAAATCTTGAAGAGGAAGAAGAAACTGTAATAGTAGTGGAAGAAGAAAAACTAAAAGCCGTAAGAGAGAAAGAAAAAAAAGAAAGAAAGAAAGAAAGAAAGAACCGTAATAGTAGTGAAAGAAGAAAAACAAAAATAAACTGAATAGATAGATAGATAGATAGATAGATAGATAGATAGATAGATAGAAAAAGGAAAGAAAGAAACAAAAAGAAGGAACTCTAACTGTAAGGAAAGAAGAAAAGCAAAATGAGACAAAAGAAGAAAGACGAATAAAATTCGATTTAGGCAAACATCGAAAAAAAAAGTTTATTCAATAAGCAGATGCTACTAGAAACAACATTTTCCTTCCGAACTGGATGGTAAAAAGAATGAATAGATTGGCGGCTATCTCTTCTTTCTTTTCTTTTTTTTTCTTTTTTTTTTTTTTTTTTTTTTACAAAAAGTCAAATGCACTGGGAACCCACAAGCTGTTGTTTGCTGACTCGATAATTGAGGGCTTTTTGACTCTATTATTTGTTTTCAGCTTAGACGAACAGACCAAACAGGCAAGGAGAATGAAGCAAGAGAAGGAAGTCTCATTGCAAATTGATACTGTAATAGAGCAGTGATAGGGAAAACGAGCCTGAAATGCTCTCTTGTTGCAAAGGACAGTGAGTAAAAACATGTATAACAAGAAATTGGATTCAAATATTTCTACTACGCTTCCTCGTTAGTTTTTTTACAAACCAGGAGGTTTCCAAATTTTTCCATAGGCAAAAACACTAAAAATAACGTTTATAGTCATAACAAAATGTCGGATGAAAAAGAAACCTTTTCATTCACACACACACACACGCGCGCGCGCGCGCATATATATAAATAATGGCTGGCTACCCGTCTACTAGGGCGGCTAGCCAATCCCTATTGCAGACGCTTGATCAGGCACATTTGTGTTTGCTGATGGTGTATACTGCATCTATGCTGAGCAGACCTTAGTTACAGTTTCTGGGAAAGAGCGTGTTATCTAGCGCGATCAACAATTTGAACAAGGCCAGCACACTCAAGACCTCGGTCACGATGATTTGTGACTTTATGCTAGCACAGCTATCGACGGCCCTCAAGAGTCCCGTCTACCCAATTTCTCTCACAAGGCTTGGGTCAACCTGTGGTATGGTTTTCAGGCACTTTCTAAAGGTGCCGCATGCTGGATCGAATCCTCTAGTCCGATATTATTAGGTATATATATATATATATATATATATATATATATATATATATATATATATATATATATATATACACACAGAAGGTGCAATGGATAAATTGTCGCATAAATTACGTAAAAATTAAAATAACACTGACATCTCATTTTAACAGATATATTTACCAAAATTACACAAAAATATCTTGTGTTGTAAATATATTCAATAAAATCGTCATTGGCTTCCACCAAGGCCTCCAGATGACTTCGGAATCTTCTGCAAATTTTCTGGACGGTGTCCTTGTTCATAATCCTTGCCTTCAGTTCATCTTTGGTGTTACAAGGAGTCTTGTTGGTCTCTCACTCAACTGCGTCCCACACATAATAATCAAGGGGGTGGCAGTTTGAGGAGTTAGGTGGCCAGATGTAAGTGGTGATGTGGTCGCAGAAATTGTCTAACAGCCATGACTTGGTTCTCCTATTTGTGTGGCATGGTGCAGAGTCATGTTGCCTGTCTTCTAGCAGGAACACTCTTGACCCAGTGCAGCACTACCTTCCCAAGCCACTTGATGTAGACCTCTGTGTTGAGTCTGAGGCCCTCACCAACAAATTCAGGATTTCTTTTCTTATCAGAACGATCAGAGTGATTTTTCCCAGCGGCCGTACCTTTATAATCACAAGTAGATTCATCTAACTCTTTCCGAATTCTATGCCCTGTTCTCAGATTGGCGCCTAAAAACTCTGAAATGTTCGTATTAGAGCTTCCGGCGCGAATGCCAAGCAGTAGAGCATGCCGTTTCCAAATTTTTAGCGGAGTGAATTGCGTCATGATGCTCCTTTTCTCATAGACAGTGGGCAGCTGTGCAGTCGATAAAATCAAAGCCAAGCCACACGCATGTGCAGAATTAAAATATAAAATGGCAACAATTTACCTATTGTTTACTGTATAATTGGGATCAATATAGATCATATATGGATTGGAATCCGACATTTCATCCCCACACAACGAGCAAACAGGATAAAGTGGATAAAGGCATGTACACACAAGCGCACACACGCACGTGCGCACACAATCACACTCAGACACAAACAAATATACATTATCATCCAAATCCCACATAAACAAATTAGAATTATGATACACATGCACATATGAATTATACACACGAACGCTGCTAGACACGACAGATTGTTGTGGTAGGATCCACCTAATTTGCATAGTGGAGTACCGACCATAAATATGGTTGGTACCGGGAAAACGGGGAAAGGAATCAAGAGATTCAATCCAGAGACTCTGCCCGACTGCGACTCAGTCAACCCATTCTCCAGGAACGGTCTTCCCAAGAAGATACAAAAGACTATATGTAAATATTGTGTACACTTTCTTGTTTCAATACATTTTGTTCTAAGTACATTTTGTGTTGTATTATTATTCCATGCATTAGTCAAGTTTCAACACAGATGTACCTGAATTCTGCTTAACCAATGAAAAAAAGCAATACAAAAATCTAAAATAGCAGAATATATATATTATATATATATATAACTATTGTATTTCTTCCCCCCATAAGAGGCGTCTTATACCACAACGATTGGGTTTGTTGAGGTTTGCTGTTCCCAAGCAATCACCCATCTAAGTACTGAGCAGGTTCGTCTTTGCTTAACGTCGGTGGTCGTACGGGAACCAATGTTTTAACGTCATATGGCCGTAAGGCTTTGGTAAAAAAAAAAAAAATAATTATTCGTTTCGCAACTTTACCGATTACTCTTTTTCTATATTGTTCTACTCTGATATTTGATTCTCTTTTCATCAGTCTTCCTGTATGGCATTGAATGCTGGTCAATCTCCTCACATATGAAGAAGAGACTTGAAGCAACAGAAATGTGATTCTGGGAACACTATGGTTCGCACATGTGAACAACGAAGACGTTTTAGATGAAATAATAACAAAAAAGGACACTTATACTTAACATCAGGAAGAAACAAGTCACATAATGAGGAGCGAGGGCTTAGAAAATTTGATACTCTCAGGAAAGATTAAAGGCAAGAGGAACAGAGGAAAATAACGAGCTTGAGTAAATGGATGGTGGAGCATGGTTTGTGAAAGATGGCAAGAGAAGACAAAATTTATTAAGAGCTACAAAAGACAAGAAATTCTGGAGTGCCATGTTCACTTATCTCATGAAGGGACACGACGCATAGAAGAAGAAGAAGAAGAAGAAGAAGAAGAAGAAGAAGAAGAAGAAGAAGGACTGAAGAAGAAGGTAAAAGAAGGAGGAGGATTGAAGAAGAAGGAGGAGGATCTCGACTTTCCAATCATGACAGTGCTCAAAAGCATTTGCGCAGCCATAAGCGTCATGAATTATTTTTCCACCCTACAACCCCTTTCCCACAGGCGAAACGTTGCGTATCTCGCTACTTGATCATTATTTCCATGGCAGATACGATCTATATTGCTTGGTTCCACCTGTCCAGACCTTCACAGCTAGGACCCGTCACGTCACTTACAAGCCATCGAACCGTAATTCCCTTAGTATTCCATTGGTATGAAAGAAGCTTCACTCAGTTTCTTCTCTGAGACTGTTATATTGTGGAAATTATTCCCTATATGATGCTTCTCTGATGATTACATCTTAACCTCTTCAAGTAAAGAGCCAAATGTTCTTGTTCTCTCCCTATACGTTCTTCAATCTCATTCAGTAATCTTCTGCCTTGAGTGACTTGAGTGAGAAATAGTAAACAGTATTGCATATATTACAAGGGATTATTATTAAGAATCTATGCATCTCTTATAAATTAAAAATACGCCGAACAGGCTGTTTTACCAGCTGTAATGTTATTTCATATTTTTTTTCTAATATTATGTTCGTTTTGTACTCTATGAAAAGAGATATTCTTTCTTTATGGATTACTCGCTCGTCGAAAGCTGTAAAATAGATCAGCTGAAACATCTGCCTATATCTCTGAAATGAGGTATTATGATTAATTAAATTATTCGGACTGTTATCCTCATCGCCATATTCACAATGTTTGGGTGGTTGTACGCTCCGGCCTTCTTCAGGTGTTTGGAATTCGCCTTTAACTTGTGCAAGAAAGGCTCCAACGTAACGATTATTTTAGCTACTAGATTTAATGTCATGAAAAATATAATTAATTTAAAAAAAAATTATCACAATGCAAATAGTGCTTACTTACGCCAGCATTACGATAAACTGATATATTTTCAAATTATATACAAGTAAAGGTCAGTATACACCCCGCAAAAACAAATCTGTATATTAGACTAATAGTGTGTTAAGAGTCATACGTGATACATGCCTGGGCGATCATGTCTCTTTCGATTCGTGACTGACTAGGCAGAAAATTTTACCCGCATTAGATTGCCATTTCTTTCTGCGATAAATTGGTTGTCAACCAAGGCTATAGGACCCAAGATTTACTTTACCCCCCCCACACACACACACATTGAGTCAGGCAACTGTACGACTGAACAGGATATTTATTGTCAATCGGTGTGTTAAGTGCCATATGTGATACACGCTTGGGCGATCATGTCTCTTTCGATACACGAAGATATTCCCACAGTAGGCTGCCGTTTCTTTCTGCGGTAGGCTGGTTGTCAATCAAGTCTATAGTGCCCAGTCTTTCCTGCTATTCAACTCATGGCTGGGAGAGGAGAAGAAATGGATTCATATTTTCTGAAGCATATTTGTGCGTAAGTGAATGCAACGAATTCAGTTCAATGAGTTCAGCGATTTCTCATTTCCCCACATTTTGTCATTCAGTTGCTCATATTTTTGTATCATGTCCTCCATAGCAAAACTCTTTTATAGTTGCTTTAAGGAGACATCTTTCCCAAGTCTATGGAAAGTGTCAAGTGTCTGCCCTGTTTTCAAGAATGGAGGTGAACACTCATCCCCGGCTCAGTATAGAGCCATCTGCCTCATCAGTGTCATTAGCAAACCTTTTGAAACTATAGCCGATAGGAAGTTTGTTGATCATCTAAATATGGACAACCTCTTGAGCGGCAAGCAGTACGTACTTCGATCGGCTCGTTCTATTGTTTATACCCCGTCATTACCCAGAGAATCAGTGAGGCACTAGACAACAAATCCACCTCACAAGCTGTTATGGGGTCCACCCCTTTTTCATACAAGTGGACTCGACCAGTGTGTACTTGGACTGCTGCCGTTAAATACCCAGGGTCAATCAGAGTGGAGAGACAGTGATTGCGATTGAGTTGGAGGTAGAGTAATAGTGTGAGATAAACGCTTGTAGAAGTCACAGTTACAGGCACGTAGACTCTAAGGAAGTCCTAGTTCGAAACTAGATTTACCAGACTGTATATATATGTTATTATTGCTACTAACCACGTTTCTGGATTTACTAACCGTATTACCAATTGTATTATTGTGTAAATACACTTATTTGTTATATTTAATTCCTGCGTTTGTCATTCATTGGGGACCGGATTTCATCTCGGAATCCACAACACAAGCCTTTGACAAGGTGTGGCATAAAGGATTGCTGCACAAGCTCTCTCATTATGGAATCACTGGATGAGTCTTCTCAATTATAAAATCCTTCCTAATGGGTAGGTCCCTGAAAGTAGTTCTTAACGGCCAATCCTCCAAGACTCTAGCGATCAATGCAGGTGTCTCCCAGCGGTTGCTTCTTGGACCAAACCTCTTTCTACTTTAAATGATTTGCCTAAGAGTATACTCTGATCATCTGTGAATATCATTGCTGATGATACACTTCTAAAACTCTAGATGACCAGAAATTGGCAGCTAATCTCTCGTCTAATCTCAGTGGGGGGAGGATTGGCTGGTTACATTCAACGTCGCAAAAACCAAACTAGTTACATTTCATGATCGCCAATCTGACACAGAACTATCACAATGAATGAATATTCCCTCGCTTAACACCAGGATGGCCGAGGTGTCGTTTTCGATACCTTCAAATTTTCAACAAATTACTTTGGAATAACTAGTTTGGGTTCGATGCTGAGGCTTATGGACAATTATTGAATTTTAGCAAAGATGTTTAACAGACTTAATTCTTTAAAAAAAATATTCAGTGGAATAGCTGATATTTGAGGTTTTACCCTGAATGGCCGAGGTGTCGTTTTTAACACCTAGGCTATTTATAGGGTAAATGCATTTAAACATTTCTCACAAGCAATAATACTTGTGTTTATGTCCCCTATCTATCTATTTATCTATCTGTCTATACACACACACACACAATATATATATATATATATATATATATATATATATATATAATCACTTTCTTTCAGTATGAATTATACTAATATTTGTGAATTTCTTTTCAGACTTGTTATTCCTGACTTGAATATTGAATATATTAGAGATGGCTGCTTCACGGCGTAAGGTAAATAAAGATGTCAAAGGAGCTGGCCATCCTAGGGTTAAACTCAAACCAGACCTTAAGTGAAACTGTAATATACAATCCATCAGTAAAGACGATGGAAAAATGGTCAGTTCCCTGTACCACTCCAGTAAGTACCTGACTCCTCCTGTTATCCTCTATAGCTTCACAAGAGCCAGATCAGGTTAAAAATGAAGTACTGTTGCCATATCTGGACAGGAGCTGGCCAGTCTTCATTTTCCAGATCCCAAAAGTGTCTCCGCATCCTTGTAGACGACAAATTATTTTCCACTATACAACCTCTTTTCCACATACCAAATATCACAAACCTCTCACTATTTCCATGGAAAGGTCTCAGATAAACTACATTCCTTAGTTCCACCAGTTCTAGCCTTCACAGTTAAGACCCATCATGCTACACACATTATAGAGAACCACCCTCATTCCATTTGTGTTCCATTAGTGACATGAAGGATTACTGCTCAAGCTCTCTCGCTATGGAATCACTAGTCTTCTCAATTATAAATCCTTTATAACGGGTAGGTCCCTGAAGGTAGTTGTTAATGGCCAGTTCTATGAGGCCCAGGAGATCAGCGCTGGCGTACCCGAAGATTCGCTACTCGTTTGGACCCTCTTTCAACTTTATATGAATCATTTGTCAAATCATAGGTATTTACTCTGTCTCACAACTAAGATGAGTTGTGACACAAAAGCGCGTACACCCGGGCAAGGAACAAAAATTGCCCGTTGGTTGCGCTGGCCTCGGTGCGAGCACCAATCCCCCTCTCTGGCGCAATGAGAGGGCGCGGACTCGGGCAACTGTCACCTCTCAGTATAATTTTCCTCAGTTGACTCTGTCCTTTCACGGAGTCGCCCCTGAATGCACTCTACCCAAAGACAGAGACGCAACTGAGAGATGATAAATAGGGTGTTACAAAACAGATATATATATATATATATATATATATATATATATATATATATATATATATATATATATATATATATAGATATAGATATTTACACATTATTTGTCTAAGAGTATAATCAGATCTTTTGTGAATATCTATGCTGGTGATATAACGGTATATGGGTGCACCACTAAAACTCCAGATGATGTGAGATTGGCAGCTGATTTTTACCCTGTTCTAGGTCTAACAGATCAGTAGGGGAATGACTAGCTGGTCATTTTCAATGCCTCGAAAATCAAAATACTTTCGTTCTATCATTACCGAGCGGACACTGAATTTTAACCGATCACGATGAACAGGAGCTCGTACCTTGAGCGTATATTGGGACTTTCAACTCAAACCTCAA